ATGGTGTGTGTGTGTGAGTGCTGGATGATGGGTGTGTGAGGGTGCTGGATGATGGGTGTGTGAGGGTGCTGGATGATGGGTGTGTGAGGGTGCTGGATGATGGGTGTGTGAGGGTGCTGGATGATGTGTGGGGGGGAAGCATTTTTTTTTACTTTATGTATATTTTATTCCCCCCTCCCTGCTTCTTACCTTGTCAGGGAGGGGGGAGATCGCCTGGTGGTCCGGTGGAGGGAGCCAGCCGCTGCACACAGGAGCCATCACACACTGTGTTCCCTCTCCAGCTCTAACTCTCGCGAGACTCGCCTGTGCGGAGCGTTGCCATGGTAACAGCCGCGGGTCTCGCGAGAGTTATAGCTGGAGAGGGAACACAGCGTGTGCTGGCCCCTCTGTGCAGGTAGCAGGGCCGGTCCTGCAGGACAGGTAACGGGAACGGCGTTCCTGCTATGGAAAAAGTGCAGGAATGCCGTTCCCATGCGTTCCTGCAGGACTCGAGCCCTGACGTGGTGGCAGCCATTTTGATTCATTCTAACGCGGTCAGCGGTGTGTGCCGGCAAATCTATGGAACTATTTTCGGCTACCAAATTGCGTGAACACCGCTGACCTGTACCTTCTTCTCCTCTTCGACACTGCGGCTGGCGACTAAGTCCCGTTCGAAGATTCGAACGCATGTTCAAATGGGACTCAGTCATTTTTTCAGGGTAAAATAGACCGACTGCACAGCCCACTTTTTACTATCCCTGGAACCCCTGAATGGATTTTCATGAATTTTGGATATGTTTGTCCCCAAGTTATACTGGTTATAAAAAAATCAAAGAAGTTATGAAAATATATAAAAAATTTAACTTTTCAGCTTGGAGATAACTGAGTAGATTCAGTTAATTAACTCAATTATCTCCTAAGCAGAGGGGAGGAATTCACTGTAACTGCTGGGTGTGCTCTATTGTCATCTTGTGTATGACTGGTTGCTGTAACTGCATTGTTGGTGCCCCAACCTGTAAAATCCTGCATAAAAGCAGCAATAAACGCTCAGTGGAGTTAGTTCTTCTTCACCCTTCAAAACGTAGCTGTGTCTCGTTATTGAAAGGGAATTTTCAGCTTAATCACTAGCTCTTTTCAGAGCTCTGCCTCTCTATTGCTCCAGGGATCCAGCGGATGGGACTTCACGTCTCCCTTACAGCCCAACATCTTGCCCGGAGGAAGGACGTCGCCAACGGCAGGTACCCCTCTCTACCCTGGGTAGCCGTTACAATGTCTTTGTATTCTAAGCACTTCTAGAAGTCGCTAGCATGACGTAGAGGCTTATAGAAAATATAATATGTCCGTCTACAGGTCATAATGCTGTTTCACAGGAAGAGGCTTTCATTCAGACAAGTTCAATGGCTGGTAATTCAGGGGCCAAGTACACAACATGCCACTCCCTGTGCCAATTTCTTAGAAAGGTCACTCAGAAAACCATACAGACCTGGACCCAATGTCGTCACATATTTGCCACATGCCAAAATGAGCAGTACGTTTTCCTCAGTTCACTTACCATTATAGATATGTAGATAAAATTAATGTAGGACAAAGAAAATGCCGGGAATGAGAACGAGGTGATTATCAGTCTGAGAAACAAGTTATCATAATGGACCACACATTACTTATAACTCAGACTTCTAACACCAGTAATGCTATCTGGCAGTGCATCTTAAGTGCTGTGGCTCTCCATTTTAGGAACCATGGCCCTCCACTACATGTTATTAAAAAAAAAATAAAAAAAAAATAGACTATATATTAAAGGGACACTCCAGACTCCAAATATTTTTAGCTTGCTAAAGTGTTTATGTATAAAATGTGTGTTCCCTCTTTTTATTTTATAAACCTAAAAAATTGCCAATTTTATATATTAACCTGGTTACAATCCCTCTCCTCCCCCCGGCTGTCAATCAGACACCGGTCATGTTACTTCCTGGTTTGGTTAGCTCAGTTGAGCTAAACTCACGAGCCAGCAATTACCAAGAACACCTGCCTTGCAAAGACTTTTCATTGATCTGCATTGGGAAGTCTGTGATTGGACAGCCACATAAAATATGGTCAGGGTTAGAGGGGAGGGCTTGCATAGGCTGCAGGCAAGAGATCTGCAGCTTTTATATGCTGTTTTTATATACACCCCAGATGAAAAAAATATATAATTAAATGTATAGATGGTTTATTTGGAGTTAAGTTAGTATATAGTGATTTATTTTATTTGGAGAGTGAGGTGTCCCTTTAAGTATAGAGAGAGCATAGACAGAGGAGGATAAATAGAAACAATGTTTCAATCCCTCCTTTTCCAATGCAGCGTGCCTTGATTATGCCAGGACTGAAGTGGGTTGTGATGTCATTCCCTAAGTATTCAATACGCACCAAAGAGTAAACAGCATCGCAGGAAAAACAAGTCAATTAACACAAGTTGTAGGTGATTTTCAATGTTCTATTTAATGGAGTATTTTCCAGAGATGTGAATTGCCTAAAAATGATTTACTGTTTGAGGATTTGAAAAGGAAATCGACACCCAGGAGTGCATTTCACCACATTCGTGTTCACTCCGACACACTTAGAAATGAAGAATTACACTGCTGAAATAAATATTTTCATTAGGTTTTTTTTTCATATACCATTTTTGATTTATTTTTTAATTCAAAGTACATAAAAGTTTATTTTTAATTTTCTCTAGCGACCCCTTGTATCGCTCTCCAGATTCTTCTTGCAGGGTTACCACCTGTTAGGAGTTTGTGTCCTTAATGTTGCTACATCGGGCAGGTCTTTCCATATTTTGATAATACTCTGCTCAGGGGTTAGACTGTTCTCTTCCTCTCAATCGATTCCAGTGAAAAAGGTTTGTTTTGGGTGATTTGGGTTTTGTCCATGTGGACAAATTTTATCCATTCTATAGTTTCAGGAAAAATGATTCGGGCAAACTAAATGCTGCGAAAATCGGGCATTTGGTGCACTTAAAAATGTATATATAATGTCACATATATATTTTACCGTACACGGAGTCACAGACTGAGTGAGAAACCGGAATCAAAAGAGCGAAAAAGGCTGAGCAGAACAAAAATCTATATTTATGTATTATCTAAATATAGAAAAAGAGCAACAGTGGAATCAGGCCAAGCCGAATCCCACAGTTCAGGACAGGACAAAATGGGTATAGACGGGCATGTACCCAAATAGTTAAGAGGAAAAATGCCTCAGGGGAATCAAGAGGGAAAAAGGCAAAAAGCCCTTTCTCTCAAAGAAAGCTCAAGAGGTATACCCACAGAGAATAATGTTAACTCATAAAATCTAGAGTAGGTAGTGAGAAAATAGGTAGATATGAAATGAGGGAGTAAAAAAAAGAACAATCTTTATTAAATTCTATCTTGTTCGAGTCATATAGACTCCTTAACACCGATATCAAAAACGTATATTGAATGAAACCAAAAAGTGTAAGTGATTTAAAAGGAGGGAAAAGGGTGGAGGGGGGCTAGCTCTTATGGTATAACAATTGAGTAATATTGTTAATACGCTGGTCGTAGTAGCAGGTATCTGATGGGCAAAATAGTTACTAGAGGCTATCAGTTATACACTCAGGGTCATTATTTCAAGGAGGATACAGCTTATCCAATATAGTTAAGATATTAACATTCCCTAGGGTATCACATGCCCTTTAACAGGGTGCTATGAAACTCTTGAAAAAAAGCCTCTAGTCAAAACTATAAATCCCTTAGCGAAAGGTAGTATCATTCCCTAAGGTATACAGTGCCCTTTAGCAGAGTGCTATAAAACTTGTGGATAAAGTCTCTAGTTAAAACTAAAAATCCCTTAGTGAAGCCATATTAACTCAAACTAGTACAGAGAAGAGTCTATACCTGATCAACTTGAAAAGAAGTGACTCTGCCCTGACTGATATAGCGGTATAAAGATGGCAAGAACGAAATGATATTGGCTAAAATGCCTAGTAACTTAAAGTCGCTGGTACGATCGTTCAAAACTATCGGGTATAGACTAGACTACTTGTCTCAAAGAGTTCCCATAACCTAGCTACAAAGCCATACGGAATGAATATCTAAAGAGAGCTGCCCCAAAGTTAAAAAAGGAAGCGTCAGAACTCAACGCGCGTTTCGGCGCTGTCAGGCGCCTTTGTCAAGAGTACACACTGCCTGGTCGGCAAACCACCTTTTTTTTTTTTTTTTTTTTTTTTTCTGTGCAAGTGATTGACAAACATGTTTAACGTGCCACAACAGCACACATTCGCTTTACATCATAGGCATAATCATGGCACAAGTAAGTTGCACATTTTTCTTTTTGTATAATAAACATGGCTGGCTAGTCTAAGTCATGAGGTATAGAAATAAAAATGGTAGATACATTATGCTTAGCTGACCGACAGTGTGTTGAGTAGTTATAAGATTCATCAGATTATACAAGCTTAGACCAAGAATTTATATGACCTGAGTATTCGTCTGGGTTGACAATCATCCCGGTTTGGTTAAGGAGATGTGCTTAGTTACTCCAAGGGATATCGCAAAGATTGGCTGACCTAAGGAGATTTCTTATGCATTTTCAAACAGACAAGCTCGCAGTGTTACGGTTACAATTGTAAGCCTAGAGAGACATGGTTTATCATACGCTTGACATTAGTGTTAACTGCATGTTTCCTAAGTCAGTGAATGTCGTGAGGGATGACAAGCATAACAGTGTAGATAGAAGAAGCAAAACAAAACAAAACAAAACCAACCAGAAAATAAAAGAAAAAATAAGGCACGTTAGAAAAAGAACAATACAACTTATGAGATGGATGCTCGCTGATTGTGGGTCAGGGTCCTGATCTGCGTGTTGTTAGTGTCCCGTGAGGTTTTAGTTAGGCATGGCCCCAGCTCCACGTGTCCTTAGGTACCTTTCCTCTCACCGGTCGCCCTCTAGGTTTTATCTGTCTGTCCAGCTTGGCGGTTGTTTGCCAATCCGTGGTTCTCACGCTTGGTGAGTGAGTGTCCATCTCATTTTGGATTGTGGGGCGGGTGAGAGGGTGTCTTATTGGTGTTGCTATGCTGCCTAGGACCAGCGCTGGTACGGTGGGGCGCTTGCTTCAGAGTGGGCTGCAGGGCAAAGCCGCTCACCGGGGACGTTATCACCTCCACTATTACTGGTGTGTCGACAGGCTTAAGAATCGGTGATGTCCGTTCACGTGGTGCCTGTTGCCGCTGGTGCGGTGTATGCCGCTTTACTCTCCGCCATTTTGGTGCCTTCCTCACTACTGGAGCCCCGGGCTGCCGCTGGGCGAGAATCCGCCTGAGAAGTGAGTGTTTCGTCGGTTGCTGTGGGGACTCTTGGTGCGTCCGATGCTTTGGGGCTAAGTCCCTGTTGGCTCTTTGCCCAGGTTCGATCCTCTCGGCTAAACTGGGCGTTCGCGTGCTTGGTTGGGGCGTGGCGGCCATCTTGCGGACCTCCTGAGGGGCGCTGTCCGGTGGGTATTGCGCGCCAGGACAGCTGCTCAGGCCCGGCCTGGTGTGATGGCCGGCACCCTGACAGACCGGGATGACCCCCCTGGTCCGGGGGGGGGGGGAGCGAGACGCCGGCCGGAGACCCTCATCTCTGGGCCCCTGTCGGGTTGCTGTCGGTGCTTGGGCGGTGTCTCCGCGTACCCCAGTGGCTGGGGGGTCAGTGTGGTCACCTTCATGGGTCATTATTCGGGATTGGTCTCCAGCTAGCTCCGATTTTCGGACCCTAGAGCGGGAGCTCAGACAGAGCACGTCTGATCCCGCCGGCGTTCAGGCCCCGCCCCCGGCAAACCACCTTTTAAAGGAAGGGAAGAGACACACCCCCGATCTGTACGTCAATTTAGTAATGACATCATCTGGACGGTGGCTCGTCAGGCTCAATCCTTAAAGTAAAAACACAATTGCCGTGCACGTTAACCAGTAAATAGAGAATGCAAATGTTTTCACTGTATCCAGCAGTACTGAGACCTTTGTATAAATGAAATACATAAAATGCAACAATGTATTTACTCAGATCTGTAACAGTATAAGTATAATTACTGGCCAGATACAATTAAAAGGTATCAAAATGAACACATTGCTACACCACTGTATGAACTAGATAAGCCCTAGGGATCTAATAAGAGCAAAAGGAGGGGAAAGCCAAAACCCCAATTATGCAAAACATAGTATAAGCTCAATTAAATTAGGAGTAAACTAGATATCCATACAGGGCTAATTTATTAGTAAAAGGTTATAATATCCTAATCAAGATCGCATCCTCATCAATAAAGTAAAGCTGTAAATATATATAGAGATGACATTTTATCTTTCTCAAATAGAGCACAGCAAAGGGTCTATATTAAAGTGTACACTAATTCTTGAAAATTCAAAAAAGTAAATAAATTAACAAATAGTAATATTATGAGTTAAATCAAAACATTGAGCTTGTCCCATTAATTAGATGGGGCAAAAGGATCTTACAATTTTAAATATAAGGGGACAGATACAAATTGTGTAGTTAAAGCAATGAGTTCCGTGGTCTTACAAGAAGGGCGAGAAAGAGAATCCTTCATTGAGTCCCCTAGGGCTCAACGTTTCTAATCTATAAATCCAGAAGGAATCTCTTTGTCTTAAAAATTTATCATAATCACCCCTTCTAGCACTTTTTTCCACAAGCAACCAGCGTATTACCAATATTACTCAATTGTTATACCATAGGAGCTAGCCCCCCTCCACTTCCTCTGACCCCCCCCTCTTTTCCCTCCTTTTAAATCACTTACACTTTTTGGTTTCATTCAATATACGTTTTTGATATCGGTGTTAAGGAGTCTATATGACTCGAACAAGATCGAATTTAATAAAGATTGTTCTTTTATTTACTCCCTCATTTCATAGCTACCAATTTTCTCACTACCTACTCTAACATTATTCTCTGTGGGTATACCTCTTGAGTTTTCTTTGAGAGAAAGGGCTTTTTGCCTTTTTCCCTCTTGATTCCCCTGAGGCATTTTTCCTCTTCATTATCTAAATATATATTGTTTACTTCTATTGGTCACTTCTCACTTGATCTGAGAATAAAAGCAACATTTATTGACTTCCCTTAGCCATCAATCATCTTTTTTTCTATCAATCATCTTTTATTTATTTATTTATTTTGCACCACAGACAGACCTTTTTATTAACAAAACAAATGATTTAATTTGTCCTTTGTCTGTCTTGCTTGGCGATTCGTCCATATAGATTTTTGGAGTTCAGGATTTCAGAGAATCCCTGATCAGCCATAATTTTTGATGACTAGCAATTAGTTTGGAACTGAATGCCTTAGGCACTGGTCACATTTCTATAAGACAATATGGTGACATTAAATCATTTCTCAGGTAACAATGCAGCTTACCCTGTGATGCATACAATAGACTTGGTGTGATTCACTCCACTCTCAAATGAGCATACATCTTAGATTATCCCACCCCACCTTCCCCCCACCTTCCTACCCCTCAATAACTTGCCGTGATAAGGACCATCTGGAAGGAGATTATCAATATCATTGGTCTCTAATCAGTAGCTGAAAAAGTAAGAAAATGAATTTGTATCAGTATGAAATAAATACAATCTATAAGACATTTAATAATCTTACATTGTGTATCTACAAGTAGCCTCTAATACACAGTCATTGCACACTATATAGAGGTATCCAGTTATTACACACTATATAGAGGTACCCAGTTATTACACGCTATATAGAGGTATCCAGTCATTGCACGCTATATAGAGGTATCCAGTTATTACACACTATATAGAGGTACCCAGTTATTACACGCTATATAGAGGTATCCAGTCATTGCACGCTATATAGAGGTATCCAGTTATCACACGCTATATAGAGGTACCCAGTTATTGCACGCTATATAGAGGTATCCAGTCATTGCACGCTATATAGAGGTATCCAGTTATTACACACTATATAGAGGTACCCAGTCATTACACACTATATAGGGGTACCCAGTCATTACACGCTATATAGAGGTACCCAGTTATTACACGCTATATAGAGGTATCCAGTCATTACACACTATATAGAAGTACCCAGTTATTACACACTATATAGAGGTATTCAGTCATTGCACACTATATAGAGGTATCCAGTCATTACAAACTAAATAGAGGTACCCAGTTATTACACGCTATATAGAGGTACCCAGTTATTAGACGCTATATAGAGGTTTGCAGTCATTACACACTATATAGAGGTAGCCAGTTATTACATACTATATAGAGGTACCCAGTTATTACACGCTATATAGAGGTACCCAGTTATTAGACGCTATATAGAGGTTTGCAGTCATTACACACTATATAGAGGTAGCCAGTTATTACATACTATATAGAGGTACCCAGTTATTACACGCTATATAGAGGTACCCAGTTATTAGACGCTATATAGAGGTTTGCAGTCATTACACACTATATAGAGGTAGCCAGTTATTACATACTATATAGAGGTACCCAGTTATTACACGCTATATAGAGGTACCCAGTTATTAGACGCTATATAGAGGTTTGCAGTCATTACACACTATATAGAGGTAGCCAGTTATTACATACTATATAGAGGTAGCCAGTTATTACATACTAATTAGAGGTAGCCAGTCATTGCACACTATATAGAGGTATCCAGTCATTGCACACTATATAGGGGTACCCAGTCATTGCACACTATATAGAGGTACCCAGTCATTACACACTATATAGGTGGTACCCTGTTATTACACACTATATAGGGGTACCCAGTCATTACACACTATATAGGTGGTACCCTGTTATTACACACTATATAGAGGTATCCAGTCATGCAACTCTCAGAAATACATGGACATTATACAGCAAGAGATAATCAGGTACAAGACCCTAACGATACCACAGACATTACATGGATACATATACCAAGAGCTGAGACCCAGAATACACCACAGATATAACATGGATACATATACCACGAGGTGAGTCCCAGAATACAACACAGATATAACATGGATACAAGTACCAAGAGCTGAGACCCAGAATACAACACAGATATAACATGGATACATATACCACGAGGTGAGTCCCAGCATACAACACAGATATAACATGGATACATATACCAAGAGCTGAGACCCAGAATACAACACAGATATAACATGGATACATATACCAAGAGCTGAGACCCAGAATACAACACAGATATAACATGGATACATATACCACGAGGTGAGTCCCAGAATACAACACAGATATAACATGGATACATATACCACGAGGTGAGTCCCAGAATACAACACAGATATACCATGGATACATATACCAAGTGCTGAGATCCAGAATACAACACAGATATAACATGGATACATATACCACGAGGTGAGTCCCAGAATACAATACAGATATACCAAGTGCTGAGATCCAGAATACAACACAGATATAACATGGATACATATACCAAGTGCTGAGATCCAGAATACAACACAGATATAACATGGATACATATACCAAGTGCTGAGATCCAGAATACAACACAGATATAACATGGATACATATACCAAGTGCTGAGTCCCAGAATACAACACAGATATACCATGGATACATATACCACGATGTGAGTCCCAGAATACAACACAGATATAACATGGATACATATACCACGAGGTGAGTCCCAGAATACAACACAGATATACCATGGATACATATACCAAGTGCTAAGACCCAAAATACAACACAGATATAACATGGATACAAGTACCAAGTGCTGAGTGTCAAAATTACTAGTAGATAAAGCACATAGAATTATATCACACCTAGGACTAAAGGTAACGTCTTAGCGGGTCTTAGAATGGCCGGACTTATCGTACCAGAGAATAGTCAGAATATTAGCCAGGGTCAGGGACACAGAAGGAGACACAACAAGGAGAGAAAGCCGAAAGTCAAGGATACCTGAATACAGGGAAGTCAAAACTAAGTCAACCATAAATAAACGCTCAGGAACACACTCTCGGATAACCTACTAAGGGAAATCACGACAGGGCAAAGAGTGAAAGGAGAAATTAGTTTAAATAACCCTCTTGCAGTTCTGATTGGCCGTAACTGGCCTTTGAAACCTAAACATGCTTGCGTGTCCATTACGTGATGTCACAGACAGGTCAACGCTGTCATTACTGTGGACATGTGTGGGGCTATAATATGGTGTGGATCCGCAGCGGCCGGCGTCCACAGATATGCTGTAGGAGCCAGGAATGAAATTCCTATTGCCAACACCACAAGGTGCGGTAGAATACGTAAAACTGATAACCAGAATAAAGCAAGGATATAACATGGATACATGTACCAAGAGTTGAGACCCAGAATACAACACGGATAAAACATGAATACATGTATCAAGAGCTGAGACCCAGAATACAACACGGATATAACATGGATACATGTACCAAGAGCTGAGACCCAGAATACAACACAGATATAACATGGATACATGTACCAAGAGCTGAGACCCAGAATACAACACAGATATAACATGGATACATGTACCAAGTGCTGAGGAAGGAGAATCAGAAGAACATGGACTAAACACAGTAAGAGATATCTAGGTGTAAGACACTCAGAAGAATGAACCTTACACAGTAAGAGATATCCAGAAATAAGTCCCTCAGAAAAATAAAGACCATAGAAAATAA